AGTTCCATCTTGACCCAGAGCCTTTTCTCCTCTTGGACTATTCTCCATCTGACAATGTCATGGGGAAGGACATGTCCCTGACTCCCAGGAAGGTGACGTTAGGTTCCCTTTCTTTCCCTCTCTTTCCAGGTGCCAAGCTCTCCTGATGAAATGTGTTCTGCCTCACTGGGCTCTGGGGGCAGTATCTGGTGCTGTTGATGCCCTTGTTCGAACTTTCCAGAATGGATAGTCCCCCAAAGCTGACTGGAGAGACCCTCATCGTCCACCACATCCCCCTAGTTCACTGCCAAGTCCCAGACAGGCAGTGCTGTGGAGGAGCAAGTGGAGGTAGTGGGAGCACAAGACCCAATCCCTTCTGCCCACCAGAGCTGGGCATCACCCAGCCTGATCAAGACCTGGGACAAGCTGACTCCCTACTATACAACAGTCTGCACTCTGTTCCAGGGGCATCTACACGGTCTGCAGACAGCATCAAGAGTAGAGGCCGAGATGGAAGAGGCCCTGGGGCCCCCAAACGTCACAATCCCTTCTTGCTGCAAGAGGGTATGGGTGAGCCAGGACTTAGTGACCTGTATGATGACAGCATTGGTAACAGTGCCACACAGCAGTCCTTCCACCTGCATAGCACTGGCCAACCCACATTCCATCTTTCTTCTTTCCAGCTGTCATCATCTGGTCCCAGAATGGGCAGGCCATGGGGAACAACACGAGGTCGGGCTGGAGTGGTGGAGGGGCAGGAACAGGAGCCAGTGACAACCTTGGATACCCAGCAGTGTGGCACTAGCCACTGCTGCCGGCCAGAGCTGGAAGCAGAGACCATGGAACTGGATGAATGTGGGGGACCCGGTGGGAGTGGCAGTGCAGGGGGAGCCAGTGATACCTCGGGCTTTTCCTTTGATCAGGAATGGAAGCTCAGTTCAGATGAATCACCGAGGAACCCTGGACGCTCTGGTTCAGGAGCTCAGCACTGTCACTGCAGTAGCACATCCAGTCAGTCCGAGGCAGCTGACCAGTCCATGGGCTATGTCAGTGACTCCTCCTGCAATAGTTCAGATGGCGTGCTGGTTACCTTCAGCACCCTCTACAACAAGATGCATGGCAACTCCCGGGCCAACCTCAACTCTGCCCCACAGTCCTGCAGTGACTCCTCCTTTTGCAGCCACTCAGACCCTGGCGCCTTCTACCTGGACCTGCAACCCTCCCCAGCTGAGTCTAAGATGTCTTGTGAGTCCCACCACCCTGAAAGTGGAGGCAGGGAAGGAGGCTATGGTTGTCCTCATGCCTCATCTCCTGAGCTCGATGCCAATTGCAACTCCTACCGCCCACACTGTGAGCCCTGCCCAGCTGTGGCTGACCTCACAGCCTGTTTCCAGAGTCAGGCCCGTCTTGTTGTGGCCACACAAAATTACTATAAACTTGTCACCTGTGACCTGTCCTCCCAATCATCCCCAAGCCCAGCTGGCTCATCTATCACCAGCTGCTCTGAAGAACACACCAAGATAAGCCCCCCACCAGGCCCCGGCCCAGACCCAGGACCCAGCCAGCCCTCTGAGTATTACCTCTTCCAGAAGCCAGACGTCGAGCCAGAGGAACAAGAAGCAGTGGATTCCCCTGTGAAAGCAGAAGCTGCCATGGACCCCACTGCACTTGAGGGACAAGTGTACACAAATACTTCCCCTCCCAACCTCAGCACAGGACGGCAGCGCTCTCGCAGTTATGATCGCAGCCTTGAGCGCAGCCCTCCTGTCCGCCTAGGCTCACTGGAACGCATGCTGAGTTGCCCGGTACGCTTAAGCGAGGGCCCTGCAGCCCTGGCTGTGCCCAGTTCCCCACCCAGGAGGGTCACGTCCTTTGCTGAACTGGCCAAGGGCCGGAAGAAAGCTACAAGCTCTGGCTCTCCTCCACTTCGGGTGAGCATTGGGGACTCCTCCCAGGAGTTCTCCCCCATCCAAGAAGCCCAGCAAGATAAAGCGGGCCCACTGGATGAAGGCACCCGCTGTAGCCATAGTCTACCACCAATGCCCTTGGGGCCCGGTCTGGACCTACTTGGCCCAGAGCCCTGGTCTACACAGGTCTATCAGGGCACCCAGTCCAATGAGATGCCACCCACTGGCTTCAGAGCTGCTGGGCAAGGCCCCTTGGCCCAACTGATGGATCCAGAACCTGCTATCCCAGGGATCCCAGCCAACAACCATACCCAGAGGGATGCAAGAGCTAGAGCTGACGGTAAGGAACTTAGAGGCTGGAGAATACCAGGATGTATGCTTAACCTCCTCAGTAATAGGTCCTGCTAACCCCCTAGTCCATACCATTAATGGTTCCTCAGCTTAGATCTATTTTCTTTCTAGTCCAGAGCATGTACTACACTGGAGTGGGGGGTGGGGGGGAGGAGATACACTGAAGAGATTGAATCAAGGGGGTTTAGAGACTGACATATTGGGAAATGAAAATAGTGATTCTTAGCCTGGATGACTGGAAAGATAATGGTACCATGAACAGGAGCTGTAAATGCAGTAAATATACTGAAAGAGAGCAAGCATGTGTTCAGTTTTGGACATTTAGCAATTTGTAGTGCTTAAGGGACAACCAAGGGATAGATCCAATAGGAAAACCACACTGGGTGACAATGGAGTTCATTCTTTGACCAGTGATTATAACCATCCCCTAAGGAGTGTGAGACCTGAGCTGGGTGCAGTGGCGTGCACCTGTACGCCACACTTACTGGGGGGCTAAGGTAGGAGAATCGCTTGATCCCAGCAGCCTGAGGCCAGCTTGGGCAGTGAGATCCAGTCTAAAAAAAAAAAATCTGACCCATAATCTTTCAGTTCCAAGTGGCCTCCCTAGGCCAATCCTTTAAAAGCCCAATTGATTTTAATATATTTTAAGTAATTATTTTATACAAAACATTATTCTAAGATGGTGCTAGTGACAGAGATAATCTGTGTCCTCAAGGAATCCCAACCAAAGATAGAAAGAGATCATTGAAATGCAAAGGTGGTGGTAGCGTATGGTACTGGGTGGTGAGAGGGGTATCTAAATTGTGCTGAAATGTCAGGGGAGGACTGCTAATGTGTCTGTACTTAAACCTAGTCTAGAAGGATGACTAGGATTAGGTTTTGTGGAAACTTGTAAGAACATTCTAGGTTCATAAAATAGTCTGTGCAAAACCACAAAGGCAGAGAATAATAGCTTTGTGCTCTCCAGGAACTGCAAATAACCTAATTTGGCATAGGTACTCTGGATAAGAATGGAATCATTGAAGGATTTTTATCAGGGAAGTAGCCTTGTTGTTTGGTTTGTTTTCTTGTTTGCTTAATGCCATGTTTTGACTTGCATATTAGAAAGCTCACTAGTGATTGGAAGATGGTCTAGAAAGGGTGTCTCCCTTCAAGTCAGAAGAGACCACCATGTAAACTGGGAAGTCATTGGAATAAGTAGTTGAAGCTATTTAAGGGAGTGAAAGCATCCAGGAAGAATGTGTGGAGTTATAAAGCAAACAAAGAGCCCTGGGAATACTGTGGTTTAAGGGGTGAGCATAGCAACCCTCAAGAGTCTGAGGTGAATTAGCCAGAAAAATCAGAAAAGAGGAATCATGGGAACGCAGGAGGAAAAAGTTTCAAAAAATAAAAAACAGGGTCAACCAAATGAGGTCTAAAGAGAAATTACCTAAACTAACACAAATCCTGAAGACAACATTCAGAGTAGAGAGGGCAGAAGCCAGACCTCAGAGGACTTGGAAGGAAAGGTCAGGTAAAGCAGAGGTGAGGAGTTCCCCCAAAGCTTAGGTTGGGTTTCTTGGCTTCTCAAAAGAAAGGGATTTAAAAAGCCATAAATGCATATATTATCTGTGCTAATAAGAATCTCAGTCTATCAAAAGACTTCACACTCCCAAACATACACAAAAGAGCTGCCCTTTAGGCAGACATGCAAGGAGTTTCTGTAGGGAAGAAGGCAGGGGCAGGGATTGGCCGGAGCCCTTTGGAACCTTCCTCTCCTTTAGACTGCAGTGTCTAGTGGGGGTGCTATGGCTGCATTCTGAGGGTAAGAAAAATCCTGATCAGAGATGGGGGGAAAGACATTAAAAGTATTTTTTCTGTCAGTTAAGACTTTTCATATCAAGATGCTACTCTATTCCTAAGACTCCAGTGATCAACCGCAGGGCTCTTGTTTTGATTCTGTAAACCCTCTTTTGAATGAAAAAAATGAATGACATTTCACTGAATTTATGGGTGGCGAAAGAAGAGACAGATTGATTCAATCTGGTAATGACAGGAGGAAGCTAAAGAGGCTCTTTGAGATTCTGAGCAACAGAATCAAGATTCAAAAGGATCTTGCCAAATCTTAAAAGAACAAAACTCAGAAGGCAGGGACCAATGTGAAGTTTAATATGTAAGCTGTACTTGAGTTGATTTGGGATATCTAATTGATTGCAAACTCAGAATGAATCAGCAGTTTCGAAGGACTTGCAAAAAAGTTAAAATGACAGATGCATTCACAGGTGGGGAAGAGTCTGGAACTCTGAAACAGGGAGTGCCACCAGTATTCCATAGAGTTCTGGCCACTGCATTTTAAGAAGGAACCACATAACCTATGGCTGTTTCACCCAGGTGAACAAATTCAAGTGAATGTGATCTGTTTCCAGTTTTTTTTTAAAGAGCTGTCACATAGAAAAGTGAGAAAATTTGTTTTCTCTGTACTCCCTGAGGGTACTAAGACCCATTGCCCAAAATGGGCCCCCTTCTTACCTGCCCTTATTTTCCTGTGCCATATCATATTCTGGGAACTTAACAGGAAGGATTTTCTTTTTTTTTTATACAGGGGTCTCACTAAATAGCCCAGGCTGGCCTTGAACTCAAGATTCTCCTGCCTCTACTTTCCCAAGTGCTGGGATCACAGCCATGCACCACCACAGGGTGACAACAGGGAGTATTTTTTAAAGAGTAGCAATAAGTAAATGATTCAGATATACTTTATATAGGGGGTATAATAAGGCTATGGTTGAGAAGACCTAATGTAATAACTATCATCAACTCAGACTTGAAATGTGACTAAAATAGTCAGAAAGAAAGAAGACCTACCTAATCAATAGGAAAACCAGTGTGCTTAAAAATGGGGATGGGATACTGAAGGTGTAGCTCAAGTGGTAGAGCCCCTGCCTAGTAAATAGGAGGCCCTGAGTTCAAACCCCAGTACCATCTAAAAATGGGGATGCGGTAGGAAAAGTAAGAGTTGATGGGGATGACAGGTGTGGAAATTTGAGGGGAGAGCAGCCTAATTTGTGGCATGTGTGGGCACCTACTTGTCTGATAACATTTAGGAAGTAGGAACTACAGGAGATAAATTGGTCTTTCAAAAAGCTAGCTGACTTATGTAAGATGATTCTAGATGCAGTAAAATTGACCTGAATCAAGAAAGGAGATCATTTAATTATTCAGTACTTACTTTGCACCAGGCCCTATTTTAGGCACTAGAGATACATCTCCACTTTTCTGGAGCTCTTATGAGAAATGATAGACAATAAACATATTAAAAAGATATACTCCATGCAAAAAAAAAAGAAAGGGTAGTAGGATAGAATGACTTGTCAGAGGGGCTAGGGTGGTCTGAGAAAGTCTTATTTGGCAGAGTGATGTTAGAGTTGAGGTCTGAGAGATAAGACGATTTCGGGCAGAAGGAACAGCAGGTATAAAAGGCCCCAAGATGTTAGTGAACTTGGCATGATTAAAGACCAAGGGAAGTATGGCTAGAACATAGCAAGGATGACAAGTGCTTTCTAAGCACTGGGGATGGCAGGAGGCTATGGTGTGAAAAATCTCCCCAGGGCATGATTCTGAAACACCTTCCTGAGGAGGTTGTGGTTCCCATCCCTATGACTCACTGATATAAATAAGAAAAGATGAGGGCTAATACACTTTGTGTGTGGAATAATGTAGTAGAGAAAACACTAGCCCCAAAGTCAGACTCTGGCTTAGGCAAAATTCCAGCTCTGCCACTTCACTTCCTGGCTGTGTGAACTTCATCACTGATTTAATGTCTAAATTTAAATTTTCCTGCTCTGTCAAGTAAGAATACTAAACTAATTTCTTAGGACTGGGGGTGGGGGGAGGGAAGAGTCAAGTGATATGGCACCTGCCTGGCAAGCACAGGCCCTGAATTTAAAACCTAGAAAACACCCTCCCCACCTCGCCCCTCTCCCTCGTGGAATTGTTGAGCCATTCTTGCAGTCATGCCCAGGGTTTTAGGCCCTGAGAGTGCTTATGGCGCCACCTTGTGTTCATTCAGATGTCCACAGCATGTGCAGTATTACTAGGAGCTTGGTCCAGAACACAAACACTGTCGCAGGGTGCAGTGACCTAGAGTTCTGTGCTTAGTTCTGAACCCAATTTCTTGAGGGATGTTGACCTGAAGACTGGCTGAAAAAAAAAAAAGATGCCCAGAATTGGGGAACACACCCCTGTGCAGAAGGAGCAGATGTGAACTCTGAGATTCCAGCAAGATCATGGAAGAGTGGAGTGCAGGTGGATAGGAATAACAGGAAGGCTGGCTCTGGGTGCAACAATTATTATCGTTAAATTTGCTCAAGAATGAAATGTGCTGGTGTGAGTGGAGATGGGATGGTGAATGAGTGAAAGCTTGAAGTCAATAACAACGTAACACTGAAAATCTGTAATTGGTAGTTCTGCCATTGACACAAATGGAAGTCATCAGAAAAAAGCAAAGGTGATAGATGAGATGTTTTAAAATAGCAAATTTTAAGTGAAAGCAGAGTCCTATGGTAGAATGATCTAGAGGTTAGGAGGGTGGTCAAGTATTTGGGTTTGGGAGTCATCTGTATGAATGTCTGCAATTAAGCTATCCTGTGCAAGGGAGAAAGTGTAAAGTGAGATACAAGAATTGAACCTTAAGATATGTCTTAACACCTAGGAAACATTATTCAGAAAAAGGAGCAGTATCCTATCCACAAACTTGGATTATTCCAGCTCCTTTCAGTTCCTACAACTAGGCCCTGCCCATCTTTCCCAGTGCACATCATCTCCTATTGCTGCTTCTATATTTCATCTCATGTGGGTTTCAATGTCTGTCCATCTGATTCCTCTTCCATTCCTGCTGCTACAGGGGGTGGTGCTGAGAGCCGACCAGTCCTTCGCTACAGCAAGGAGCAGAGGCCAACCACGCTGCCCATCCAGCCCTTTGTTTTCCAGCACCACTTCCCCAAGCAGTTGGCCAAGGCCCGGGCCCTCCACAGCCTTTCCCAACTCTATAGCCTCTCAGGCTGCAGCCGTGCACATCAGCCTGCCCTACCAGCTGCTCCTACTGCTCAAGGCCAAGCCCCAGTTCCCTCAGGGGAGCCACAGGCATCCACACCCCAAACCACTGGCAGAAGTTCCAGAAAAGCTGGGCCTGAGCCAGAGACCTCACGGCCGTCACCCCTGGGAAGCTATTCCCCTATCCGGAGTGCTGGCGCCTTTGGGCCCAGCACTGACTCTTCTGCCTGTACTTCGTGCTCCCCTCCTCCTGAGCAGGCTACAGCCACAGAAAACTTACCCCCATGGAGCCACTCCTGTCCTCCTACTATCCCACCTGCTACCTCCCAGCAGCCACCGAAGGAGGATCAGAAGATACTGACCTTGGCTGAGTACCGACTCCATGGAACAGGAAGCTTGCCACCTCTGGGCTCCTGGAGATCTGGCTTCAGCCGGGCAGAGAGCCTGGCCCGAGGAGGTGGTGAGGGCAGCATGGCTTCTAGGCCCAATAATGGTATGAGCTTCATCCCCAGCCCAAGCAATTCTCTCTTCTTTGAACAGTTCCTTATACTTTACCTGGGGTTACAGGTTAAAATGATTCATCTTCTGCCCCAGCATCTATATCTTCCTAACCCTCCTAACCTTAGTGATTTACATGGGCATTGGATAGATATGAACTACTGTCTCCTAACTCTTGCTTGTCTGTTTCTTTTGATCTGTTCTGCTTCCAGCCAACCACCTATCCCCTCAAGCCCTCAAGTGGCGGGAATACAGGAGGAAAAACCCACTAGGGCCACCTGGTTTGTCAGGGAGCCTAGACCGGAGGCCACAGGAAGCTCGACTGGCCCGCAGAAACCCCATTTTTGAGTTCCCTGGTTCCTTCAGTGCTGCCAATCATCTTAACTGCCGACTGACTGGTGTGTGGGCAAGGTCCCCAGTCCTCCCAGGGCAGGTTTTGCCATGACTGGGCAGGGCTGGAGAAGGGGTCATTCCCATGGGAACATGTCTCAAAGGGTATGAGGCACTCAACTGAGCTGGAACTCTTAGAAAGAGAGTTATTTAGGTTTCATTTTTCTTTCTTTTCCAGGTCACATAGTGAAGCCATTACCACTGACCTGTCCTGACTTCCAAGACCCCTTTTCCTTGACTGAGAAGCCTCCAGCTGAGTTTTGTCTGTCTCCAGATGGCAACTCAGAGGCCATTTCCATTGACCTGCTTCAGAAAAAAGGTGCTTATAACTTCTAGCTCAGGCTGGGAATTCTGCTGTCACTGCCTATTCACACCTCTACTATCTAACCCTCCAGGAAATCTCCCTGTCTTAAACTCCAAGTGCTGGGAAGGATATGGAGAGCATTAGCAAAGAGGTAGACATTTGGTTACTGTGGGAGTGAGCAAGAGTCATTTATCAGATGCTTAGGAATCAGGCTTCAGCCCCTTTCCTCAGGAGCTAAGTATAGGAAACTGCCACATAATAAATAAGTGCCTAAGCATTCCAGTGAGTGTAATTGAAGATACTTTAGAACCTGGCAGCTTGGATAAGCATGTTGGTGACATCTAAGATGAGGTCTGACAAGAACCACTCTATTTGGCAAATAAGTGTCCATTGAGCAGTTTCAGGGAGATGATGGGGAAATAATCAGGCACAATTGTGGGCTAAACACCAGAAACATGGACTGGGCCATGTTTGACTCAAGTGATAGAGCACTTGCCTAGCAAGAGCAAAAGCTTGTGAAAGAGGGGGAATAAAGATAAAATTGATGGTCCTTACAGAGGCTGAGTGAGATTCAAAGTTTTGGAAGAGGGGAACAGCCACCTGCTTCTAAAATGAACAGGGAGTAGAAGAGGGAGTACAAGAGTGGGGAGGGAGCATAGATCCCCAGAATAGTTATGTTTTTTTGGAATTCATGGCCAGTGGCTGGTCCCTGTGTGAAGAGAGGTAAAAGTTTGGCAGGACAACTTGAGGGTACAGCAGAGGGTGCTGCCAAGGCACGTGCCAAAGAATCGCCCTTGCCTGGCACCAGTGTAAGGGACCTGGGTTTTCTCCAATAGCAGTCAGTGGCCTGGTTTCTCAGAACAGAGAAGACTGATAGTTGAATTGATCAGGACTGCAATAAGAGGATTAAGGAATGAGGAAGTTGAAGGTCTTGGTAGTGTAGCATGAGGTTGCTCCAGGCTAGAAGGTAAGACAAGGAGGGGCTTGAGAACTGGCATAAACAGGAAAGAGGCAGGGTCAGATGTCTCCATGAGACCTGTTGGGAGACTTTGAGTAAGTGTGGGAGTATTGCCCATCCCCACTGAGAGTTCAGTACACACTGGGCTGTCTAGGGACTTGCTCCAGGACCTGTCACATCAAATTCCTCTTTGTAGGGCTGATAAAAGCTGTCAACACTGCTGTGGACCTCATTGTGGCCCATTTTGGCACAAGCCGGGATCCTGGGGTGAAGGTAGGCAAGAAAATATGGAAACCTGAGCTTTGCTCTACAGACCCTCACCTGTCATGTACTGCCACCTTCCCTTGCTCTGTTGCATTTGTAGCCCAGAGGTGGAACTCAGGGATGGGAACCTTGAGGGTCAACTAAGAACCAAGATCAGGCTTCTCATGACTTCCTGAACTTCCCTACTGTACCTGCAGGCAAAGCTGGGAAACAGTTCTGTGAGCCCCAACGTAGGCCATCTGGTTCTGAAGTACTTGTGCCCTGCGGTCCAGGCCGTGCTGGAGGACGGGCTCAAGGCCTTTGTACTAGATGTTATCATCGGGCAACGTAAGAACATGCCATGGAGTGTGGTTGAGGCATCCACACAGCTGGGTGAGTGCTGGGTGGTAACACTGGGACACCAGACTGAATTTAGGGGTCCAGAAATTGGCCATGTGACCTCCAACCCTGTCTTCCAGGTCCATCTACTAAGGTCCTGCATGGCCTCTACAACAAAGTCAGCCAGTTTCCAGAGCTCACTAGTCATACCATGCGCTTCAATGCCTTCATCCTTGGCCTGCTCAAGTGAGTGTGTGGAGAGGCAAGGTCTCCTAAACCACCCACCCCGGCAGGGCGCCTCCTCTAAGCAACAAGACCGAGGGGTGGATCTGCAGGGTCTGGGCCAGGCCTCAGGCTCACCGTCTCCCAGCCAGCTACAGCTCTGCAGACAGTACTTTCCCACTGCACCCACCACCTCTGTTACTGGTCACTAACAAGCTCTTTTGCATTACAAATCCATAACCTGGCCTACATGGACATTAATTGGATATCTCAGTTTCTTTGAATCTTGTGACCGCTGATCTTCTCCACTCTACCTTGGCTTCCAAACCCTGCTTGAAGCCCGGGCCCACCTCAGAACCCACTTTGTAGGCAGTATTCTTTTTCAAGAAGGGCCCTGGGCATCTGCTTTGACCCTGAGTTGCTGGTGCCTCATTCAGTGGTCACCTGACTTGTTGGGTCTTGTGCAAGCTGACTCCATTCTGTGGAGGAAACAGCTGGCTTGTGATCATGTTCATCCACTCCCCACTGACTTTCCAGAGCTGTATTACATGAAGTGAGCTAAGTAGAATCCCTGCCATAGAAAGGAGGCATTCATCTGTACTTCCTCCCTTTATCTGCCTCCCTTGTATTACCTGGCTCTATCCATGCAAGACTCAACTCTTTCCACCTTTTGCCTACAGCATCCGGTCCCTGGAATTCTGGTTTAATCATCTCTATAACCACGAAGGTAATGTCTGGAACCTGTTTTCTCAAACTCAGCATAGACCAGAGGCTCAAAAACATATCCTCAGAAGCCAAAAGTGGGGAGGAGTACCACACAGGCTTTCCTCCTCAGAGCTTTGGGGTTCAGAGTCTTCCCCCAGCTCTCAGATTCCTGAGAACGGCAGGAATCTCAGGAAATCTGGAAGTTGGGGTGGCACTCACCCCAACATCTCTTTCTTCTAAACTCAGAATCATCACTTTGGGTGGTAGAATATATGGACTGCACAACTGCAGGAGCAACTCTGTACATAGGAACATAGTACACAGCTTGTGTGGCAGTATACAGTGGCTCACCCAGCTTGCCTTCAGTGTCCTATTTGGGCCAGGTTGTACTTCTCTGTGCTGATAGTCCCTCTTTCCCCTAGATATCATCCAGACTCATTACCAACCCTGGGGCTTCCTGAGTGCTGCTCACACCGTGTGCCCTGGTCTCTTTGAGGAGCTGCTTTTGCTGCTACAGCCCCTGGCCCTGCTGCCCTTCAGCCTCGACTTGCTGTTCCAGTATCGACTGCTGCAAAGTGGGCAACAGCAGCGGCAGCACAAGGAACTTCTGCGGGTGTCCCAGGACCTGCTATTGTCTGCCCACTCAACACTGCAGTTAGCCCGGGCCCGGGGCCAGGAGGGCCCTGGAGACATGGACAGGGCAGCCCCTGGGGAGCGAGTGAAGGGTGTGGGTGCCCCAGAAGGTGGAGAAGAGGATGAAGAAGAGGGGACAGAGGTAGCTGGGGGCTCAGGGAATGGTAGGTGGGCCAGAGGAGGGCAGGCTGGCTGGTGGTACCAGCTCATGCAGAGCTCCCAGGTCTACATCGATAGTTCCACTGAGGGTTCTAGGTTCCCTCGAGGTAGCAGCAACAGCAGTGGCGGTAGTGGTGAGAAAAAGAAAGGGGTAGGAAGTGGGGGGCTTCCCCAGGCTCCACCCCCCCGAGAGGGAGTAGTAGAAGGGGCTGAGGCCTGCCCTGCTTCTGAGGAGGCCCTTGGCCGAGAGAGGGGCTGGCCCTTCTGGATGGGGAGCCCCCCTGACTCTGTGCTGGCTGAGCTGAGGTGCAGTCGGGAGAAGGAGGGGCCCACAGCCCCACCAGCAGAAAATGAGGAAGGGAACTCAGAGCCTTCGCCTGGGGGCATCAAGTGGGGACACCTCTTTGGTTCCCGAAAAGCTCAGCGGGAGGCCCGGCCCACAAACAGGTGAGAACCTACCCCAGTTGTAGACGGGGAGTGAGGGAGCCTGATCTAAGCCAGGACACAGACAGAGCCAGAGCCTGGCTACTCTCCCCTAGGCTGCCCTCAGACTGGCTGAACCTGGACAAGTCTATGTTCCAACTAGTGGCACAGACAGTGGGTGCCCGCCGGGAGCCTGAGCCCAAGGAGAGCCTGCAGGAGCCACACTGTGCAGCCCTGTCATCCAAGCCTCCATGGTGAGCCTGGGGAAATGGAAGGTTTGGGGGTCTGGGTTTGGCTTTTGATGGGGTTTCTCTGATCTCCATTTGTTGTTTCTCCAGTGAAGTACAGGCACTGTGTCACCATCTGGCCACAGGCCCTGAACAGCTGAGCTTCCACAAGGGAGATATCCTACGGGTGCTGGGTCCAGCTGGAGGAGACTGGTTGCGCTGCAGCCGTGGCTCTGACACTGGCTTGGTGCCTCTGGCCTACGTGACTTTGACCCCAACTCCAAGTCCAAGCCCTGGAAACAGCCAAAACTGAGGTCCTGTGCATGCTGGTGGCCTCAGGGATCCTAGTAACCCCTAGACTCAGCACATGAGAGCCCTTCCCAAGCCCTCTGGCTTGGCTACAGAAAGTAGACTGAGAGCTGGGGGCCACATAGCTCTCTGCTGGCACCTGCTTCCTGTACTCAGTATTAATTACTCCCTGTCAACTGTCCCAGTGTCCCTGTCCAGACCTCCACCCAGGAAAGGAGGAAAGGGACATAGCACTGGGCTGCTAGGATTTCCCCAGCCCATCTGGGACAACCCTTCCATGGGTGTACACAAGCAAGTCCCTACAGAGGGAGGTGGCCCAGAAGGCCATTTGTAGGGTTTCCTAGTGAAGTGGTAATGAGGATAGGTAACAGTATTGGGGCCAGATCCCTAAGCACACCCCTTCCCCCAAGCTGTAAATAGGCTGTGGCCAGTGCCTGGTCATCAAAAGAGGGAAAAGCCCAGGCTTCTGTTTAATGTATGTATTTATTTATTTATTACATCTACTAATAAAAAAGGTGCTCAGCCTCCAAACCATTTTCTTTGTGCTCCCCCTGCCCAACCTCCTGCCTATGTCTCTTCCTTTCAAAAAGACAAGTGAGATAGGATAAAAAGGAAGGGAGAATTTGAAGTCCAGGTACCTAAGCCAGGAGCTGCTTCTGGGAAGTGAGGTGCCCAAATGTGTGGCCAATCTGGAACTTATACCCTGTGTGGCCAAGAGAGTCTGTCATGTGTAGTCAGTGGCATGAAAAAGCCATTTATTTTCAGCCACTTGCCTAGACCCTCCAAACCGCCCTCCAAAATCTGGTCCTAACTCCCCACTGTGAGCTACCTCAGTTTCCTTTTCTGTCTAATGATAAAGCTAAGTCACATGATCTGAGATCTCCCCCCACCCCCCTGAATCTATTTGCTGCAATCTCCCAAGACTCCCACCCAAACATTCCAGTCCCCACAGCCTCCTTCAGGCTGTTCTCACCTGGCACATAGCCCCCGTAATGAGGTAGAAGACCCAGGTTCTGAAGGTAGGTCCTAGGAAGTGGAGGGAGAGGTTTGGGATCCTTCTGGGCTCTGCCCTGTCTGTACTTTTGCCCAAATTCCAGCAATGCTTGGTTGGTGAGCACAGGGAAGCTGGAGCCAAAGAGGAAGCGAGCATGGGGCACATAGCCAGTGAAGCCTAGGGAGGGGGGATACCAAGTCAAGACCTCCTAGGAGCCTCCCCATGCCTTTTGATAATTACCCACCTCCTCTCACCTGACATGAAGAACTTCCGAGGGTCTTTATCATCCATGGAGTAGGGGGATGCCTATGAGAGAAGTTTAATGGAAGAAAAATCTAGAGTTGTCAAGTTCAGGCTCCCAGGTGAAGCTAACATCAAGCTCCACCCCCTGTGCCCACAATCACACTATCTGTGGCCTCCCCCAGACCTGGACACACAAAGGTAAGTCTCCCCACTCCCCATCAGCCTTCTTGGTCTCACTTATTCCACCTCCTGCTTCAGCTCTGTCTTCTCTGCCTCCAGTCCTTGGTCTCCCTTGGCCTCCTCTGGCAGCTCTTCGCTCCTCTGATTCCCATGCCGCTGAGTAAAATCATTCAGAGCCTCAGCCCAGACCTGGCTGCAGTTCTTGGTAAAGATGAACGGTGCCTGAGGTACAAATCCTGGTGGGCAAGGGCAAGGAAGATACATGAGCATTTGGGACACAAGCTCTGTACAGACCTGTGTACCCAGGGATCATGCCCGAGCTGAGCCTTTCACACCCGCGCTGGGAGGTGACCTCCTCCTGGGAAGCTCAGAAGATCATGCAGGCCAAATGGGAGGCAGGAGTGTTCGGTGAGCAAGAGGCCAAGCAAGGCCAGGAGGGCCTCGAAGTTAGCTGACCAGTCACCTGCCCATATGTCTGGCCCATGCTGAACTGAAGTAGTGGGCAGTGTCCAGTGTACCTGTAGCATAGGATCCATCCACTCACCTCCAGATTCCCCCACCCCTCCATCCCTAGAGACAGAAAGCGGAGACCTCTGAAGCTCTGATCTTTCTAGACTCAACTGCAGATATATTTGGAGCAGGCATTTCTAAGTCCTCTGCCTGGCCTTTCAGTCCTTCCTCTCTGGTGTTACCCTGTTCCCATGGAGAAGACAACACAAAGCTTTGGGGCAGACACGGCTATCCTATTCCTTGCTTTTCCCTTTCTGTTCCACACATAGCTTTGGGCATCTCAAACCAAATGTCACTCCCAAAGTCTAGGTGATCCAACTCCTGTATCCCTAGATTCCCATTTCCAAAAGCCAGCAGTGGAGTGCTCTGGGCAAAGTCTTACCCTGGGATATAATGAGGTTTCTGAGGGTTGAGCCCCAGGATGAAGTTGCTAGCCATAGTCAAGAGTTCTTTTGTTTCCCCTCCAGCTGAACCTCTGGGCTGTGTGTACTGTGTCTGTGTCCAGGGGCGGATGGGACCAGAGGAAAGGTGGGGCTGAGGGAGGAAGGGGTGGGGTACTGGTGTGACAACTGAGCTAGAGAACAGAGGCAAACTGGTGTGTCTGCCCTGGAACCAATGCTATCCTGTTAACTGGAGCCAGGAAAAGGCTTCCTCCACTGCAGGAAGAAGAAACCCTCAAGGAATTCAGGGAAGTATCTGTTAGGCCATTCAGCTGTATTTCAGAAGACTTCCTGCTTAAGGCCCTCCCTGTCTGAGCAGGGATGAGGTGTACATACAGTGCCCCTCTGCATCTGGAAGGGGCAGGAGTTAACTATGGAAAGAGGATCTGAGGGGAGCCTGAGCCCAGAAGAGATGTGAACGGGAAAGACAGAAACCTAGGTACCTCTGAACAGGGACATTAAGTTTATTTTCAATAATATAATGTAGCAGGATTATTTATTTAATACCTGACTCATTTATTAAACAAATAAACCATGCTCTCCTAGGCACTCAGGGTAGCAGAATATGCACTGTGTGGGAGTCAGATAAGCTAAATTCCATGGGCCTTTTGGCAAATCTTAACTGCACTGTCCTCATTTACAAATGCAGATTCTACTTCTCACCCTCTCCCCATGAGACCCAAATTAATGTATAAATGTATTTTCTAACTCAAGACTGTGAAGCCAGGATGGGGTGTAGGGAAAAGAGCACAGGTGTGAGGCCAGACAGGCATAGACTTAGAATAGCTTGTGCCCTTGCATGAACCGTAACCTCTCAGAGCAGGAGACTTACCTTCTTCTGAACCTGAATCCCCTAAACTGTAACATGAAGGTTAAAATAACCTGGCCTTTAAGATACTCCAAGGATAAAGTATATAGCAGTGAGTAGGAAGAAACCAGCACACAGCTACTAAAACGGAATTTCCTCCCTTACTGTCTAATGTCTCTCAGTGTCTAACAACACAATTGGAAGACCAATTAATGGTTGTAAATTCAGTGGATGTATTCTTATTGTGGGAAATCAGAGGAAGAAGATAGCAGAATAGAGTTGGGCATAAGACCAGGGGGTAAATTGGAATTTAGTAAGAAATAATCCAGTTTCTAAGAGAAGAAGGACCATATCTCAGAGAGAGGGGGGAGCATGGAGCGTGATTAGAAATCAGCTTTGGGCCTGAGTCAGAACCAGGCTGGCCACCTTTCTGAGGCAGACTCTACTCATCTTCCCAGTCCCAGGCAAGACCACAACAGTGCCTGCACTGACCAAGTACAGCACTGACTTGTCAGGAATTGTGTGAGACCCTTGAACCCCAAGCAACACATCTCATGTCCTTTGCTGCTCTGCCAAGGATGACCTTGGTATATACATTTACAGTCTAGTGAACTTGGCTTTCAGTTAAGAAGATCTGTCAGAGTAAGGGTGAGAGCCTAGGGGAGAGCCAGAATAGCAG